CTCTGTTGCACAGAGAAATAGACAGCAGCATGTTACTGCTGGCAGGAGAGAGACCTGTGTTGTTTACATAGGTCTCTCCCCTGTCAGTGATGCTCTGCGATCGCCGAGTGCTGGCGGGAATCTCAGTGATCGACATTAATAGCCACCAATGGCGCCACAGGTAAGGCAGCATGTGTGTCCCATACCTGGAGCTGAAAATCACGTATATATATGTGATTTTGTGCAGCCCTGTCACCCTATAGCAGTAGTTCTGCTATAGGGAGTTCGGGAAATGGTTAAACAGAATGGGGAAGGATGAAAGTCTCTGTCAGGACATGTAGCTATATGAGGCTGTGGAGAACTCACTGGAGAGTTACTAGGACAGGAAATGAGGTCAAATATCTCCAGTTTGGACCCAGACAACAGAAACCTGACAGAGGGTTTGTTTTGTATGGGTTTTGGATTTAAAGGCTCATCTTTTATGTATACTAGACCATAGAGACTAAGGGCCCCAGTAATTTAAATACAATGTGCCATGCCATGCTTAGAGGCCTATAGGCCTTTTCTGTCACCCATGAAGTCTGACAAAAATAGTTTACATTTTTTCCAGGACATGGGCTACAACAAAATGGCCACTGAGCCTTCTTTCAGGACAATTAAAGTGATAATAATTCACTGTCCTCCAAGAAGGAACCATGGTGACCATTTGTTATAGCCCATTTCCCATAAATAAGCCAGGACATAGGAATGTAAACATCGGGAGTATTTCAGCAGGGTGACAACAAGGCCTACAAGTATAGCATTTGCATTAAACAATATTTTTACAAATGCCACAGTGTATTTTAAATTACTGGGGTCTCTTGCCTGGATGGAAAAGTTCATGCAAAAGGTGAACTTAGCCTTTATACTTGAACTTCAGGTATGACATTTTTTATGAGGAGGTGAGCAAAACCTTGGACAGAGGGGTGGCGGTGGATGTGGTATACTTGGATTTTGCAAAAGTGTTTGACACAGTTCCCCACACATGGCTAATGTATAAGGTAAAGTCTACAAGCTTGGAAAAATCTGTATGTAAATGGATAGAAAACTGGATAAAAGATCATATTCAGAGAGTAGTGGTTAATGATTCATACTCTGAATGGTCTAGGGTTGTCAGTGGTGTACCCCAAGGTTCAGTCTTGGGACCCTTACTATTTAATATATTTATAAACGATATAGGGTCTGGGATTAGAAATCTAATTTCAGTCTTTGCAGATGACACCAAGCTGTGCAGGGGAATAACGTCCTTACAGGATGTCTTCAATTTACAAGCCGACCTCAATGCACTATTTAATTGGGCAACTATGTGGCAAATGAGGTTTAATGTTGATAAATGTAAAGTTATGCACTTGGGGGGCTAAGAATATGCATGCATTGTACAACTGGGGGAATCAATGGTGGAGAAGGATCTGGGAATTCTGGTAGATCACAAGCTTAATAATGGCATGCAATGCCAAGCTGCGGCTTCTAAAGCGCGCAAAATCCTCTCTTGTATTAAAAGCAGTATTGACTCCAAAGAGAGAGATATCATATTACCCCTGTACAAATCATTAGTAAGATCTCATCTGGAATATGCAGCTCAGTTTTGGGCACCAATTCACAAAAAGAACATTGGGGAACTGGAGAAAGTGCAGAGAAGGGCAACTAAACTGATAAGAGGCATGGAGGAGCTCAGCTATGAGGAAAGATTAGGGGAACCAAATTTATTCTCTCTTATGAAGAGGAGATTAAAGGGGGATATGATCCACATGTATGAATACATCAGTGGATCATATAGTGAACTCGGTGTAGAGTTATTCACCCTGAGGTCATCACAGAGGAAAAGGGGGCACTATTTACGTCTGAGGAAAAGAAATGTAATCTCCAAACATGGAAAGGTTTCTTCGCAGTAAGAGCTGTGGAAATGTGGAATAGACCCCCTCCCTGGCTAGCTCCATGGATTGCTTTAAAAAAAGGCCTGTGTGACATTGACCCAGCATGCCCCGGTCGATGATGTCACACAGGGGTGGGGTCACACCTTTTTTTTTTTCTTTTTTTCGGGTGTAGGTGGCCGCGGTGGTGGGCATTGTGGTTGACGTTGGATCTACTTCGGGGGACATTCTTTTATTTTCCTTCTTTTAATAAAGGACTTGTCAAAGTCCTGTCTTTTTTCACACTACAGTATTTTTTGTGAATGGGTAGTGGTACCATGTACCCCATACTCATTCACATGGGGGCCCCCTCCAGATTTTGATAAGCCCCCCTCCCGCAGACCCTTACAACCACAGCCCAGGGTTGTGGGGAAGAGGCCCTTGTCCCCATCAACATGGGGACAAAGTGCTTTGGGGGGGGTGAGCCCACCTCCCGCCCCAAAGCAGCCCCCAGGCTGCGGTCTGGTATGGTTCAGGAGGGGGGGCGCTAGCTCATCCCCCCCCCCCCCATTTCCTGACCTGCTGGGCTGCATGCTCGGATAAGGGTCTGGTATGGATTGTGGGAGGGACCCCATGCCATTTTTTTTAATTATTTAGTAATTGCCCTCAATTTTTTCTTTTACTTTCAGCTGTCAGTGGGGAACTGACAGCTGAAACATTAACGCATGATTTTCACTACTAAAATACCACATGACTTGAGAAAATAACTCATGCGGTATTTTAGTAGCATTTTATGGTGAATTGAAAGGGTTTTTTTGTAAATGCTATGCGGTATCCTACTGCATACTCAGATGTGGTAAGATACCGCTTAGTGTAACAATACAACCCGGGGTGGCAGCATTGGATGGGGTTAAAAGACAGAAGAAAATGCAATAGACCTTATATATTGTGGTCTCAAGGGTGAAGTGCAATTATTTGTGAGGACCATCAAGACAAAACACACAAGCTTGGTTCCCATGTCAGCATTACTTTTAAGTATAGTGTAATAAAAAAGACTGATGTCTGAAAACCATAGCCCACCAGTAACCACATGCGGTTCTCAGCAATCACTGTGGTATTTTTCATTAAATATAAACTTTATTTATTTTTTAAAGTGACATGACAATTGAAAAAAATGCAAAAACCCACACTTAGAAGATTTTTACAATTTATTAGCGAAGTGATTTGCTGTATGAAGCAAGCTATCCTGGACACTTGACACTTCCTGGAATATCTGTGATTTTTAGGCCTGGGAACATGACTGCTTTGGACTCCAGTTATCATCCAGAGTTCCCCAGTGAAAAGGTCCACGGGGGGGGCAATTTTACTTAAAACTCAAAACCTTTACCAGGACACTACTGCATGGAGTCTGCACATTCTCCCTATACTTGCATGGGTTTCCCTTTGTACTCTGTTTTCCTCTCACACTCCAAAGACTAGAGCTAGTGAGTAATTCGGCTCAAGGGAGTGCACCCAGGAAGGATGTCTCATCTCCTATGTATTTAGTGGAAGGGAGAAAAGCGCTATAAAATACAACATTTTTTCAAATTAAACCCAATCACTAATACTGTATCTCAGTAATCTAGGGTGTTGGTCTCCAAAGTATGACCGTGCCCCAAAATTCAGCCTGCTCTGACAGGGACTCTCATGTAAGGGTGGGACACTGATGTAAGGGGGACTCTTATTGGGGACCCTGATGTAAATGGGGGCTCTCATGTAAAGGGGAAACTCTGATATAAGGTGGACTTTGCTGAAAACCCTGATGTAAGGGAGGTCTCTGATGGGCACTGTCCTGTAAAGGGGGAGATGTGATGTAAGGGGGGGACTCTGATAGGGACTCTCATGTGAAGGGGGAACTCTGATGTAAAGGGGACTCTGATGCAAAGAGGGCTCTGATGAGGACTGTGATGTAAGGGGGGGACTCTGCAGAACTCAAATGTATTTGAAATTTCTTTGCTGTATTACTGAAGTGTTTTTTTCTGTTGTTTAAAATTATATCATGCTGTTTACAAAAAACTCCAAATAATACATATGCACTCATTTACATTTGATTATGTAATTATTTTTTTCTGCCTGCAATTATTTGTAAAATATGCATTGCGGCCCTCATACTGAAAATTTTGGAGATCCCTGATCTAGAGATGGATTTCCCAGCAGTACTGTTTTCTACAGCTAAATGTCCTCACTCTGATGAAAAGCATCATTCATCCCACTTCTTCTGATCCCAGGTTGCTCTGGATCCACCCAAACCTGTGACTGTACTGTGAAAGGAGTAGCAGCGCAGTGATGAGTTCATTTCTGTGTCACTATGCTTTCTCTATTTTATCAGCATGTTCTTCCTCTCAAACTCCAACCATGTTGAACAGGGGCAAAAGGCTAACACCAGAACAAATTCAGGTACCTACGCTCTTTGCATTTCTAAAAATACATTTAAGGATGTGTGGATGATAACAGCATTGATTTGTGCCTTTAATATGCGCCTAGAGTTCAGCTTTAAGTAATTGCAAAAAATTATAATATTTATGTTCAGCTTTCTTGAAGTAATACCTGCTTATCTTTCAATGCAGGTCCTTGTTCAGATACTTCTTGATAAAGGGTGACTACTGTTCCCCATCACAGGACCCTGATAAAAGTGATTGTAAAGCTTATTTTTTTTTTCTTTGCTGAAAAATTACGTATGTTATACTTACAGAGCAACCCTGAACCTCCTCTTCTCAGGTCCCCCTCTTTTTCTCCATAGGAAGCCTGTGGGCTCGATTCTGAGTTGGCCTGTGTAGGTCTATTGACACACACAGCGCGGCTCAGTCTCACCTCTTGCCCTTTGCTCACAGGATTTGATTGCAGCAGAAGGCAATGGCTGCCATCGCTGCCTCTGTGAGCAGAGAGAGAAGAGAGCCTATGCAGATGGGCACAGTGTTGGATCGAGATAAGTATACAGGAGGGTGAGGGGGCAATACAAATACAGGCACATTTTTTACCTTAAAGGAGAAGTACAGCCAAAGCTTGTTTGGATGTGCTTCTCTTGTGGATCACAGGAGTGCAGTTTGTTTGAGCCTTGAGAGCCTGAGCCAGCTAGTCCTGCCCTCTCCACAGCCCAGCACTCCAGTGAGCGCTGGGGGTGCAGAGCAGACAGTGGTGACTGATAGCTGAGTTCTCACCCTTAGGCTGGGGCCATACATTATACAATTTTCTTGAGATTTTTGCTTTAGATTTACCAAAAACCATTTAATAGGAGGTCAAGTTCAAACAACACTTTCAGTTCTATCCAATTAGGTGGGCCCTTGCACTACACAGTTGAAGGTAAATCTAAAGGAAATTGGGCAGAAATTGGACAGAAAATTGTATAGTCTATGGCCAGCCTTATCCCCCATACATACGATAAGAAAATCGTACAAAACATTTTGCGGAACCACTGATCGAACGATTTTCTCTTCGTTGATGAGCAGGATGTTTTAACAGATAACGATATTGTGAACAAAAAAATCCAGTTGAACAACAATGAAAAATGTTGTTTTGCATATGAACGACCAATTTTCTATGCGGTGGTATGACGGTCGTATGAAAAAAATCTGTCAAGTGCTATCACGCATGAGCGGAAACAGAAGATGACTCGGATGTTTATGTCCAAGGAATCTTTGTAAACATGAACGAAAAATCCAAATATTAAAAGTAGATTGGCCTAATGAGATCATGAAACCAGAATTATGTATGTTATATTTTATGTATCACTATTTATGTTTATAGATAATGTAATAAACTATATTATACTCATTGCTGGTAATTTTGTGTATATCGCTCGTTCTGGCTGGAAGGGCGTAGCTACAAGGTCACAGGCACACTGCATCACTTCCACTTGTATGGAAGATGTCAACACTACGTATTGTCTGAGGAGCGATTTTTTTAGATTGGTTAATGTGGGCCACAATTTCGACCAACGAACGCCTCTCACTCGTCGGATGACCAATCGATCGATTTTCTAATTGTGCATTCCCTCCTTTAGAGCTGGCGGGGAACAGATGCAGTTCTTTTTTTTTTTTTAAATCATACTTACCTAGGTGGATGCAGCACCATACTTCTCTTTTAATGTAGAGAATGCATTAAGGTAAAAAAAATGTCCAGCCTTTACAACCACTGGGTTAACACTGATGCAGTGTGGAATTCGCAGCGTCTTCAGTGCGAATTCCGCATCAGCATTGCACCCCATTCATGCGAATCGCTGCGGAATCGCTGTGTATGTTAAGAACGCCCCGAAAGCAGTCTGAAAAACGCGCTGGGATGTGCAGAATCAGATCGCATGGGTGTGAATACCCATGCGATGTGATTCTAGTGCGGACCCAAAAAAGGGTCCTGCATCTTTTTGATACAAAATGTATGGCTCCAATCGCACTGCACGCAATTCGCATGTGATTTGCACAGGAATGCGGTGCGGTTCCTGTGAGGATCACATGCGATATACCGCACCGCATGTATGTGAACCCAGGCTAAGACTAAAAGGCTAAATTCACATGGTTGACCGGGGCGGATAGTATGCTGCATTCAGAGGTGGCTAAATGCTGCCTCTGATTGCAGCAACACACTGTGTTATGGCTGCATACAAATTGACTGATAACTTTGGTTTGTGTGCAGCCATGTCAGCAACCCTGGCTGCACACTACTTGCGTCCAAGGTCGAACGCAAGCTCTATTCGTATGTAACAGTTCAGGTGATGGGTTATATGCAAACAGCAGAGGTGCCGGCAATTCTGACAGCCACTACTGACAGCTGCCGCTGTTCACACTCAGTATATACAGGCAGCATTTACTACCGCCAGAAAGAATCTGTAGCTGCCCCTGGCTGCTGCTTATTATCTGTCTGAATGTAGCCTACATGGATGCTCAGCCACCATTGTCACCATCAGGGAGCCGATTCCAAGCAATGATGTGTAGCCTACAGCCTACATTAGAGAGCACACACCTGGATAGGAAGTGTCTGAAAGAGGCTGGAGGAAATCAGCAGCGTTGAGATGCAAAAAAAGGAGGAAAAAAGAGCTGAAAACAGTATTTTATATTTAAAAAATTGCAGTTGTTTATGATACAGTGTTTTAGCAAGCTAAATGCTGCCATGTTAGGCCTTAGACCTACTATAAAGGCCGGGCAAAAAAATGGAAGTAAACCCACTTTTGTATCTTTTAACTATAGGTAAGCTTATCTGTAGGGAAAATGAATATCTCCTAAACATGCAGTGTTAGGAGATATTCGCTTTTTTTTACAGCTGGCGCATGTGCTCTGAAGGAACGGCATCAGGGGCGGACTGACCACTTGGTCAGTAGGGGGCCCCATGAGATGCCCTGGTACCTTTTTCATAGGCTTTTTGGAGTTTGGGCAAGGACAGAGGAGCCCCATGATCCCCTATTGCCTGGGAGCCCCATGAGTTGTCAGTCCGCCCCTGAACGGCATACTCGTGCTGTTCCCTGTCGTGGCCCGCAACGTTATTGCGGTTTGGCCAGACAGATAGCTGGAGCTTGCGAAGCCGGAAGGAAGACCGGGTGAAGATGGAAGCCTCTGCAGCAGGGACAGCGTGCCGCTGGTGGGCTTTGTTTTAACCACGGACACTTTCACCCCCTTCCTGTCCAGGCCAATTTTCAACTTTCAGTGCTATCACACTGTGAATGACATTTGTGCGGTCATGCAACACTGTACTCATATGAATTTTTTAGCATTTTTTTGAGACAGATAAAACTTTATTTTGGTGGTATTTATTCACCACTGGGATTTTTAATTTTTTTTGCTAAATAAATGAAAATGTCCAAAAAATTTTAAAAAAGTGTTTTTCTTATAAAATTTTGCAAATAAATAATCTTTCTTCATAAATCTTGGCCAAATCTTGGTCATAAAAAAAATAACCCAAATTAGTTTATAACCAAAAATTACAATTTTTCTAACATTTTGTTTTACATTTTTATTTTTATGTTATTATTTATGCTTTGTTTTTTGTTTTTTTACATACTGTCACCCTAGCAGTACAGTGTCACCATAGTGACATTGTACTACTTGTGGGGAGTGATGAAGATTTTTTTTTTTTTTTTTTACACTGATTGATTTTACACCCAAAAAGGCTGTAAAAGCAATCATTTCTCTTTCTGGCTGCGTTCCTGCAGCCATTGAGAAATATTGTGTGAGCTGTGATTGGTCACAGCTACATGGTACAAGGCTGTTGTGAATAGCCTTGTACCATGTGACATCTGTGATCATTCACAGATTTCAGGAAGTGGCATCTTGCTTACTACTATTCATGTGATCACTGATTGGCCAATCAGTGATCACATGATCGGGACCTCACACAGAGGTCTCATACAGCGGGCACTGGTTCACGGTGCCGCACGCTCCCAGGAAGCGCGCACAGGCTGTAAATGCGGGCGCCGTTTATGAACGACAACCCGCTCCTGCACTGCTCCCATCTGGCCCATATACATAAACGGACGGACGGTTAAGTGGTTAAGGTTAGTGCGGTGTGGTTCCTGTGCGAATCATATGTGATGTGTTGCCCCGCATCAGTGTGATCCCAGGCTCATAATGTGCTAGTATGCGATGCATGCTAGCACATTATGATATTATCTTTCAGGGGATTTTTTACATTTTTTTTTTTTTGCAAGCTGCAGTTTTCTACCGCTTTAAGTGCTGTGTGAATACTGTACGCTGCTTTCATTTTGACATACCACAGCATCAACTAAAGTAACATTTTTTGTACCAAGCCATTGGATTCTGTACACTTTTCTTCCAGCCAGGCACTTGGGAAGATCAGCGGGTGAAAGGAATGTGTTTCAGGTGCTCCCTTTTGAAGTCTTTATGAAAAAGGCTCACAAAAAGGAGTATGAAAGGTGGCTACAATAATTTGTGAACATTGTTTCGTTACCCTTTAAATGAATGCTCTGAGGTTCTGGGAAGCTTCAATATGTGTGTGACGCATTCCTGTAGCAGCATGTGGTCAGAGTGTTCCACAAGCAGGGTTATTTATTATCACAGATTCGCATGCAGTGTAATCTTTTTGGTTGATATGCTGGTCTGTACTTATTTATATATTAGAACAGTCTGACCGTTTATAGCAGTCATTCCTATGGCTGTGTAGTATGATAAAGTGGTAATAACCCCAAAACTAAAATGTAATATATTTCAGCTTACCAATTCTTACATGTGGTGGCTGCATTCATTTCCTTTTTAAGGATTTTTTTCCTTTATTTCAACTTGTTCATCCAGCCAGTATGTCTGTTATTTTTCAACTTCCTTTAAATTTGGAACTAAAGGGAGCTATACTTACCTTTTCTCTAATGGACCCCGACCCTCTTGCTGGCATCTTGTTCTGTGTGCTGGTTTTTAAACAACTTCATTGGCCAGTGCGAGATGACATCACACTTGCACATGCGCAGGGGCTAGTTTTTACAACACACAGGGATTGGGCTGCCAATGTAAGCTGAGCTGTGCATTTCAAGTGGATGTAAACCCTTACAGGGGCGTCCCTAAAGTTGGTGTCACCCAGTGCCGGAACACTGGGTGACACCCCCTCTCTTTCTCCCCCCCTCCTCTCTCCCCCCCTCTCTCTCTCCCCCCTACCTACTACATGAAGCTGCAGTGCTGTCACCAGGGTCCGGGGATTACATACTGGCCTGCTGCATACTCTGCCTGCCCCTCCAGCTCTCCGACTTCAGCACCAGTGGCAGGGATGTGGACCCGCCCCACTCTTCTGAAACTCTGAGGAGGAGAGGTATCAGAAGTGCCTTCCTCACTGTCCGTTCCCTCAACGCTTGCTTTTTTCAGCAGCGGCACATACAGGGACAGACTGAGCCTCTCATGCGGCTCTGTAGTGACCCCGGACACTCGGTCAGTCCGCCCCTGGTGGAGTGTGTACGGTGTCACCCCATGCAAAAGGTGTCACCCGGTGCGGCACACACCCCCCACACCTGTCTAGGGAGACCCCTGAACCCTTACATATACCCAGTGAAGTTACTGGCCTCAGGTGATATACAGAGATTAAAAAAATCCTCTTACAAAAGTTGTATCTGCATCTCTGCAGCCATATCTCCTCTACTCTCACACTTCAAAGCATAGAGCACAGACATGAGTGTAATCGGAGACCCGAGTGAAGGGAAAGGACACTCCCTACACAGTCTCGTAGGGAAACATACACAGCTGAGGCTTTCAATCATCTGCTGTGTGCTGAAGGGGGGGCAGGGACGACTTCCATTGTCCGGTGTCAAAATAG